GAACAGTCTCAACGTGATTGTTGTTGTGGTTGTTGTTGTCGTTGTTGTCGTTGTTGTTGTTGTTGTCGTCGTTGTCGTTGTTGTTATCGTTGTTGCGTTTTTTGCTGTTGTTGTTGTTGTTGTTGAACTCTCATTTCTGAAGAATAATTACTGTTGATCCCCCCCGTCTGGTGCACACTGTTTTTTCGATTGAAATGCTTTTCCTGTGGCTCGCACAGTCTTGAGGGTCGAACTGTGTTGTTGGCTCCCGGTTTACAACAACAACGGCTCCCGCCTGATACGTCCTCACAATTTATTGAAGAATCGCGCTCTCGCTTTGGACTTCCTTGCAATTTACCGCCGGATCGCGGCTCCCGCTTGATACTTCCTCGCAAATCATTGGAGGATCGCGCTCTTGCTTGGGACTTCCTCACAACTTACCACCGAATCGCGGCTCCCGCCTGATGCTTCTGCACAATTTATTCAGATGTTGCTCCTCGACACTCAGGAATCGAGCTCCCGCTACATATTGCCTGGCGGTTCAAACAGAATTTACGCTTCAACGACCCGCCCGCTCGACCCGCCCGTCTGGGCGTGCCCGCCCGACCAGCCCGTAGGGACTGCAGTCGTCGCTCGCTCCATTGTGCTATTCCTCAGTTCTTCGCATTCCGCCCACTCCTCCCCAGGCCACCCCATCCCACCCCAACAATCTCCACCCCGTCCCGCTCGCATTCTTCATTTCTCCCAAATTATTCTCAGTCCCTCCTCCAGATTCCTCCGTGCGCCCCCCGCTCCTCCGCACTCCTCCGGGTTCCTCTTCTCCACTCTTTGCCGCTCCTCCTCCTGAGACCCTATTCTTGTCCACTCCATCCCAATCCATTCCGCATCCCCGCGCTCCTCTCGACATGGTTGCAGTTCTCAGTGTCCTTCCGCCCCATTCCCAACATTCCGCTTCTTTTCAGGGTACCAAGAAATTTGTTTCTGATACCAGTTCGCAGTTGTACGCCCCCCCGTGGGGTATCCACGATCTGTTCTTTCAAGGGGTTGGTACGTGGCGCTGTTTATGGCGCGACCCATGGCGAAACTTCTTGTTAACCTGTGTTGGAATGGCTGGCGCAAACTATGGCGCAAGCTGAATCGCCACTCGCAGCGCAAATCATCGTCCTCCCTCCTTCTTGCCCCTCCCCTCCCTTCCTCTGATCCCTTCGTCCTCATTCTCCCCCGTTATCTGTTACCCTTCGTATTCAAGGGCGTCACCGACCACGCGTGGCAGGGAATGAGTATGCCCCCCAAAAAGGGGTACGATCGAAGACGAAGAGGGCGGATATCCAGGGTTTGGGGTATGCATATTGAATGACACGCGAGCAGATAAGAACGATCGGTCTTAAAATGATCGTCGTCGTCGTCGTCGTTGTCGTCGTCGTAGTCATCGTTGTTGTTGTTGTTGTTGTTGTTGTTGTTGTTGTTGTTGTTGTTGTTGTTGTTGTTGAACATTATTACTTCTAAAGAATAATTATTGTTGGGGCCCCTGGTGCACGACCCCCCCGCCGCGCCTAGGCCGCAGCCTCATTTTCATCATTTTCGTGAGGAAGTCTCAGGCAAAACGGGTTGGTCCGGATCCGGTTGTGTTGTTACGATCGGTTTTCCCTTGCAAAAAATAAGCTAAAGTGGACATTTCTTGTTCTAACATAACCAAACTTCAAGAATCCCTTGCAAAAAATAAGGTAAAGTGGACATTCGCGCGCGCAAGACGAAATCCTTCCAAAACCTTAGTTTTCGTAGCGATTTTCACATAAAAACATCAAAAAACCAATGTTTTTTTTTCAAAAAAAAAATGTCAAAATTTCATCCCGCGCGCTCTTGCGGATTCGTAGGAAACCCAACACTTTTTAAACATTTCTGTCAAACGGGCTTTTGCGAGCAACTTTTTCGAACTTCTGCAACAACGGTTGCGCACCTGCCAGGGCCATCATCCCTGTCAAATAATACCATGCGGGACACATTCGTTTTTTCTTCGCGCGCGCACGCCGTCGTCGTCGGCCGCGGGGCCCTGAATAGTAGCCACGGTCGTCCGCATGCCACGAAGTGAAGTGTCCGAACGTCATAGGGCGGGAAGCTGGGTGTGGGTGGTGGCGAAGAGTCGTTTGGAAATTTGGTAGAGCTTGAACCGGCCCCCCCACAAAGTGGGGGTATTGCCCGCCTCCTATGAAAACCCTGGCACTGGTGAGAACGGAGTGTCCCCACGTGCTAGTAATTGTTGTTGTTGTTGAATATTATTACTTCTAAAGAAATATTATTGTTGAGACCCCTGGTGCGCGACCCCCCTCCAAAACCTAGGCCGCAGCCTCATTTCCTTCATTTTCTAGCGAAAGCTTCAGAAAAGTGGATTGTGTCCGGATCCGGTTGTTTTGTTGTAATCCGTTTTCCCTTGCAAAAAACACTATAAAATGAAAATTCTTGTTCTTACTTGATCAAATTGCAAGAATCCCTTGCAAAAAATAAGGTAAAGTGGACATTCGTGCGCGCAAGACGAAATCCTTCCAAAACCTTAGGTTTCGTAACGATTTTAACATAAAAACATCAAAAACCCAATGGTTTTTTAAGAAAAAAATGTCAAAATGTCCTTCCGCGCGCGCTGTCCGAATCCCACAAAACCAATGGTTTTTCAACATTTATGTTACATGAGCTCGCGCGAGCTACTTTTTCTTGTTCTAACATAATCAAATTTCAATAATCCCTTGCAAAAAATAAGGTAAAGTGGACATTCGCGCGCGCAAGACGAAATCCTTCCAGAACCTTAGGTTTCGTAAGCGATTTCAACATAAAAACATCAAAAACCCAATGGTTTTTCAAAAAAAAATGTCCAAATTTCATCCCGCGCGCGCTGTCCGACTCCCACAAAACCAATGGTTTTTCAACATTTATGTTACATGAGCTCGCGCGAGCTACTTTTTCTTGTTCTAACATAATCAAATTTCAATACTCCCTTGCAAAAAAAAGTAAAGTGGACATTCGCGCGCGCAAGACCAACAAAAAACACGACGATCTCAGGAACTTGCCCCAAAAATGTGACCAACTCCGCTCTCTCTGTCTCTCTCTCTGTCTGCTCTCTGTCTCTCTCTCTGTCTGTCTGTGTCATGTATTGTATGTCACAATTGCAGGATGCTGGGCACACGCGCGCCCCGAATAAGTGACCAAGTTCTGTGGGTGTGTACCCCACGCCAGTGTAGTAGCCACGGTCGTCCGCACGCCACGAAGTGAAGTGTCCCAACGTCATAGGGCGGGAAGCTGGGTTTGGGTGGTCGCGAAGAGTCGTTTGGATATTTGGTAGAGCTTGAACTGCCCCCCCACGAAGTGGGGGTATTGTCTCGCGTCGCATGAAAACCCTGGCACTGGTGAGAACACTGAGCGTTCGGGTAAAATGATTGTTGTTGTTGTTGTTGTTGTTGTTGTTGTTGTCGTTGTTATTTGTTGTTGTTGTTGTCGTTGTTATTTGTTGTCGTTCGAGGAGGTCTGGGAACACGGTTTTCCCGGTTGGCTCTGGCCCGCGAGGCTGCCTCGGCCCGCGCTGCCGGCGCCCTGCGGGCGCGGCCGCTGCGGGCGGGGCCGCCGGGGCCGGCGGGGAGGCGCGGCGCCGCGGCGGGCGCGGTGGCGGCCCTGGCGGTGGCGGGCGTGGGCGGGCGGCGGCGCGCTGCGAGGGCGGAGGCCTCGGCGACGACGACGGCCACGACGACGATGACGACGACGACCACGACCACGACGACGGCGATGATGACGACGACGACGACGACGACCACGACCACGACGACCATGACGACGGCGACGACGACCACGACATCGACGTCCACGACGACGACCACGACCGCGACGACGACGACGGCCACGATGACGACGACCACGACGACGACGATGACGACGACCACGACGACGACGACCACGACGTCGTCGACGACGACGACCACGACCACGATGACGACCACGACCACGACCACGACCACGACCACGACGACGGCGATGACGACGACGTCCACGGCCACGACGACGTCCCCGACCACGATGGCGACGAACACGACGACGACGACCACGACGACGACGACCACGACGTCGTCGACGACGACGACAACCACGACCACGATGACGACCACGACCACGATGACGACGGCGACGACAACCACCACGACGACGACGACGACGACCACGACCACGAGGATGCATTGCGGGCCTTCGGCGCTGCTGCGCGGTCCTTTGGCCCCATCCACCCCGACCCCATTTTGGGGGCGGCCTGCAGCAGGGCGGGCCGCCGCCGAAGAGCGAGCTCTCGGAGGCCGCGAGGAGGCTTTCCGAGGAGGAGAAGAGGCGGGTCGACGAACTTTTCCGGAGCGCGATCTCCGCGGAGACGGTGGAGCAGGAGGAGCCAGACGTGGCTAGGACGAGGATGAACCCGTGCCAGAGCGTTCCGGAGCGCTCTCAGAGCGTTCCAGAAGGTTTTGAGAAGGCCGCGGCGCATGAGAGACATCTCAGGGCCGCCGAAGCTCAGAGATTCCCGATGCATACTCACCCAATGTGTTCCTCGCCTTGGTTTCGTTTCGTGAGGAGGCCTTCTGGACCCAGCTGGTCGACAACTACGGCTCGGTGCCAGAGGTGCTCATCAGGTCCGCGTGTAATCGGGGGAACTCGCGCCTGCGGCAGGGCAAGTTCGAAGAGGCTCTCGCGGACTACAACAGAGCAATCGAGATCTCGCCCTACGAGGTGGACCCCTTCCTCAATCGCGGCATTGCGTACGAGGCGCTGGGCAGGCTGGAGGAGGCCTTGACGGACTACGACCGCGTCCTGAGGCTGAACCCTAGCGACCCCGCTGGCTGGAACAACCGCGGGAACGCGCTGCTGGGGCTGAGGCGCTTCCGGGAGGCCAGCGACTCGTTCAAGTAGGGGAGCAAATAGTGGCATACAAATATAACAGCTCTGAGATCCGCGCGGACTTCTCGCATCGGCGCAGGCCTCCGAGCTTTTGTGTTCATGGCATGGTTTGTTCCCCTAACAAGAGCGCGCTGGGCATCTCGGGCCCGCAGAAGTACCCCAACGCGGCCCTCAACTTGAACCTCGCGGAGTACGAGCTTGGCAACGACGCGGCGGTCCTGCAGGACCTCCAGTCGCTGCTGCGACGCTTCCGGGACGACTTCCCCGACGCTCGCGCCGCCTACGCACTGATCCTGTGGGAGCAGGGTGACCGTGTGGCCGCGGAGCAGGAGTTCGGGGGACCCCCGCTGGGCAGGCCGACGCTGATTCCGCCCATGCCGTTCCTTGGCCCCAGGGTCGGTGTATTCTCTCCCTTGCCAGGCCTCTTCGGGGGCGGCCAAGAGGGGGGTGATGACAAGGGGGGGTGGATTTCATGGCGTGGGCCATGATATTTTCTCTGATCTCATGGCGCCTCTTCTTTTTTCATTACGTCCCTGGCCCCCCCCTGGGCCGAGCACGTGCCGCCGGCCATGATTTGCGCCTCCCCCCCTTGGACGCCCCCCTCTTGGCCGCCCCCGACCTCTGTGAGGGCGTGTGCACTAATCCTGGGCCCAGCGCGGGCCTGGCCAGCACCAGTGCGCCTTGAGATCCGACTTTGCGAAGGCACTGCGACATCGTAAAACAAGTCACGACCAGAGCCCTGGACTCGATCTCTCTGCGCCACTTCTCGGGCCCGATCGATCTGGGATGGCCCCGAGGCCAGAAACCTGGGCGGAAACACTCAGCGTGAAAAGTTAACAACGCCCAGATCTCAGGGTATGTTCGCAGCCAGCAGATCCCCCGAGGAGTGGGACCGAGCCACCGCCGCCGACCCGCGCTACCGGCAGCTAGACTGGATCACGAGGTTCCGCCGCTGGCCCCCGCGGCTGACGGGCGTGCTGCAGCGCTTCTCGGAGAGCGCCAAGGTTCAGTATCGTTTATCCGATCCCCATCCCCATGCTCATCCCCTTCGAGACCCCCACCAAATTACACCCCCAGTTGGGGATCCACCCCTCGAAACCCGAAGAATGCGACATATATCTCCATCTGGGGGGGAACATCGGCCAGTGGGGCCCAGGCCACGTCGCTGGGGATGGGGATCGGATCAGCGATACTCAAAGGTGAAGGTGAAGTGAGGCGGCCGCCAAGCTCGCTCCTGAGGGGCAACGTTGGGGGGCAACCGACTCCGGGGGGGTGGGGAGAAACATCGACCCGGAATCGGCGGTACGTCGCCGATGGATCGGCGACAGGTCCCCGACAGCGCATCCGCACGGTCCTGGGCGGGGCGGGGGGCTAATCGGGCCCCCTATCGGCGACGGGGGAGTCGCTGCATCCCCCCCCCCCCCCCCCCTGCGCTTATCCCTCCCAACGTTGGTTTTCGGTTCAGGCGCCCCCTGAGGGCTCTCAGCGAGGCGCAGCTGCTGACGAGCACCCCGAGGCTGGAGAACCGCCGAGATCCGCCGAGAACTCCCGAACAGCTCGAGCCTCGAACCTCGACCCTGCCCCCCCCCCCCCCCCTCCTACTCCTCCTCCTCCTCCTTCCTCCTCCTCCTCCTCCTCCTCCTCCTCCTCCTCCTCCTCCTCCTCCTCCTCCTCCTCCTCCTCCTCCTCCTCCTCCTCCTCCTCCTCCTCCCCCCCGATGTTGCCCCTGGGCTCCACCCGTCCGCCGCCGTGCCCCCCAAGCGGCCCGCCTCTGCCCGGGCTGCCCGGCCGAGGGGGCCGACCGTTTCGGGCGCGGGCGCGGCGCCGTGGGCCTCGGCGGCCCGACCTCCCCACCCCCCCAAAGCCTCGGGCTGCCTCTCCCCGCTTCCGCCGTGGGGAAGCCAACCAGGGCACAAGCGTGCTTTCTTGGAGTAGGGGATCGACTACAGCACTGATGAACCCCAACACTGATTCGTTCGTCGAATCCATGAGGAATGCGTAGAGCGTTCGAGCGTTCGTAGGTCTACGAGCAGTTCTACGTAATTCTGACTCGACGAGAAGATCAATTTTGGGGTACATCGATTCTGTAGTCGATCCGCTACTCGAAGCATACTTTCTTGGAGGTCCGCGCGGATTTCTCGGATCGGCGCTGGGCCCCCTTGGCGGCGCCTTCGGCGCCGCCCCTGGCTCACTACGCGCGCCGGGGAGGGGGGGTTCAGCGCTTGTCCGATGGCTCCTCCACGTCAGGAGTTCGATCAGAGTGGCCCCTTGCTCAGCGCTGTCGCCCAGGCTCCTGCGCAGGAGATCCCCTGAGACTGCCGACGGTCACCGAAGACCGACTGCTGGAACACGGTTGGAGATTTTGTCTCTGGAGCTTCCCTCAAGGAGACCCCTGGAGGCCCCCAGAGGTTCCCGGAGGGTCGAAAGGGTCAAAACGTTTCAGAACATTGATCCCCGAGCCTCGGCGACGACGATCACGCACTCCGCCGCCTCGATGACGACGACGACGGACAACTACCACGTGCTCCGCCGCCCTGACTACGATCACGAACTCGCCGCCTCGACGACGACGACTTGTACATTATCGGCGCTGGAGCCCCCCTGGCGGCGCCACCGGCGCTGCCCCTGGTGCGCTTCGCGCGCCAGAGAGGGCGGTCGGGCACGGGCCCAAGACAGCCGCACGGACCTCCAAAGTTCATGTTTGTGTCGTACCTGTCTGTGCTCCTGGATCTCTCCTGCCCCCTCGCCTCCGACGACGATCATCCGGCGTGGGCCTCACTTCGCCGCCTCCGCCGCCCGCCCCGCCTCGCACGCCTGCCACGCTCCGCGCCGGCCGCGGGTCCCGCCGAGGCGCTGGGCCACAGCGAGCGCGGCTGGCCAGTGCCAAGCGGTGCCGCAGATGCGCAGCTGCGTCCGTTTCCTCTCGGCGGCGTGCGCGGGGGGGAAGAGTAGGGGAACACGAAGTGACACAACCATAAAAACTCGGAGGTCCGCGCGGATTTCTCGGATCGGCGCTGGACCCCCCTCCCTGGCGCGCGGAGCGCGCCAGGGGCGGCGCCAGAGGCGCCGCTGGGGGGCCCCAGCGCCGATCCGAGAAATCCGCACGGACCTCCGAGTTTTTATGTAATTTTTTATTCCCCTAGATGCGCAGCTGCGCTCGTTTCCTCTCGGCGGCGGGCGCGGGGGGGAAGTGGGAGGGGGCAGGCCTTCTCGCGGTGGCGAGCGCCGGGGGGGAAGTGAGATGCAGGAGGCCCTCTCACAGGGCGGCGGGGCTTCACAGAAGCCCTCCAGCCTTCTGAGAGGCTTTTTCTGCGGCTTCGAGGAGGGCTCAGAAGGCCGAGGCCTTCGAGCCTTCTGAGAAGGCCCTCGCCTTCTTTCGAAGAAGAGCAAACGCCATAAACACAAACTTTTGGCGCTGCGCGCGGATTTCTTGGATCCGCGCCGGTGGATCCGCGCCGGGCCCCCCCCGGCGGCGCCTCTGGCGCCGCCCCTGGCGCGCTCCGCGTGCCAGGGAGGGGGGTCCAGCGCAGATCCAAGAAATCCGCGCGTATCGCCAAAAGTTGATGGTTCTGTTTTTTCTTATGTTTTGGTTCCTCTACAGGTGGTGGCGGGGCTTCTCGGAAGTCTTCGCGCCTCCTGAGAAACCGCCTGTGTCTTCGGATAGGCCTAGAGTCAGTATCGTTTAACCGATCCCCATCTCCATGCTCATCCCCTTCGAGACCCCCACCAAATTACACCCCCAGTTGGGGATACACCCCTCGAAACCCGAAGAATACGACCTATATCCCCATCTGGGGGGGTACATCGGCCAGTGGGGCCCAGGCCACGTCGCTGGGGATGGGGATCGGATCAGCGATACTCAAAGGTGAAGGTGAAGTGAGGCGGCCGCCAAGCTCGCTCCTAAGGGGGAACGTTGGGGGGCAACCGACTCCGGGGGGGGTGGGGAGAAACATCGACCTGGAATCGGCGGTACGTCGCCGATGGATCGAAGCCCGAAGAATACGGCCTATGTTCCCATCTAGGGGGTAAATCGGCCAGTGGGGCTCAGGCCACGCCGCTGGGGATGGGGATCGGTTACACGATGCTCACATAGGTCTTCTCGGGAGGCGCGAGGGCTTCCCCGCCGCATCCCGCGGAGGCCCGTCCGCTCTGCCTTCCCTGCTGGGCCCGCCGCCGACGCCGGGCGGTGCGATGCGATCAGAACATGTCCCAGCTAACTTTGCATCGGGCATGTCCCTCTACAGGAGGAACATGTTAAGGTAGTCAAGGCATAGTTTGGGTGCGATTTCTTCAAATAATTATTTGATAATGGTCGAGTACTTGTTGAGTGTCTTTATCGCCCCAAACTCCGCCTGCAGGGGAACATGCCCGACCTAGAGCTAACCTCGCACCCTGATAGAGACGTGGGGGATCATGGAGTGGCGACGCGATGATGAGTCCTTTGATGTCCTATCATGATGCCATGGGCCATACATATGCATACACAGCTATGTGATAGTGATGGTGACGATGGTGCTGATGGTGCTGATGATGGTGGTGTGTGAGTATCGTGGTGATGATGATGCGACCGATGACGATGCCGATGATGAGGATGATCGAAGCTTCGCGTATCCCCACCAGCCCCTATAGTAGCGATCGCCAGGCCTGTCGACTTGATCAGAGAAGAGCAGGAGAGAGAATATGCAAACAACAGGTAGGTGAGTCAGCCGTCAAGCGCCCGATCGCGGAATCATCTTGAGCATACGAAGGGGTGGAATTGCGGAGCTTGCCGTACAGAACGAGGATTAGGATGATGATGATAATGATGATGAGGATGACGATGATGACGATGATAATGATGATAATGATGATGCTGATGATGATGATGATGATGATGATGATGATGATGATGATGATACTGATGATGGTGATGATGCTGATGAGTGTAATGGTGATGCTGCTGATGATGTTGATGATGGTGGTGACGGTGATGATGATGCTGCTGTTGCTGCTGATGCTGCTAATGGTTTTGGTGATGATGATGGTGAAGCTGATGATGATAATGATACTGATGATGAGTAGGATGATGATGGTGATGATGATGATGATGTTGATTCTGCTGCTG